CCCATCCACAAATTTAGATTGTTTATGGTCGGTTTATCCCTACCTGCAACTTTGATAACTGTTTTGGAGGCATTAATTAGGAATGAAGGCTCTTTCGCCTCTCCCGCTTAATATTTTGTTCCCAAACATTTAAGATGCAAAGGAAGCTCCGCCATTCCATAGCACAAAGGATCTTAGTTTGGGGAGTAGAAACTGGGTCTGGAGATTCACCCATGCTGGCACCTAAACACCACTCCTTATTTCCACTCCCAGCTCTGCTGTAGAATAAAGGGATGCAAGCATCAGATATACAGGACTTGCACAAGTACTCTGCCAAGATTCTTTGACGTTTCTGCCTCTTTTTAAGGATTCTCTCCCTTCTGACAGTCCATTCACAATCTCATATTTTCTGCATCTCTGACATTTTCCTGAGGTACAACAGAAATCTCCTTCATGCTTGCCAGTAGCTCCATTTGGGAAGCTAACAGTTCAATCCCAAAAATACTTTCCTGGGAGCGAGCCCCCTTGAATCGAGTAGGATTCTGAGTAGATCTGCTTAGGACAGCGCTGTAAGTGATTTACATAGGTCACCTATTTTAGTAGCAAAAAGAATGACAATACTAACAGAAACCTTGCATTTGAGAGGAACATTTAGATATATTTCGGTGAATGGCATGGCAAAGCCTTACTGGGTTTTATAGGATGCTGGAGTTAGCCCTTCAAAAGCAAGCAATAATCTCTGTTTCAAATAAGCCCTGCAAATGCATTTCTCTCTCTTATCTCAGGAGATGGACTGAGGTAATTCACCTGGCACCTTGCCACCGGACTTTGTACACAGAGGGTATATCAACAGCTCAGAGTTTTGACGACTTACAGTCTGAATTACTTCCTGTTACCGCTCCCTTCTGTTTTGTGTTTCTGTTTAAATATATATGTACACTGAGTTTCAACAGTGTGAGAGTATAACCCAGTCATTTTCATTTTAGCCACAAAATGGGTATTTTTTAAAAGCTAGGTGAAAACTGCCATATGTTCTAGTTTTCAGGGCAGAGAGGGGTTCTTTTTTTCAGTGTGGAAGCTTCCATGCTGGGAGGTTTCTGTTTTCTAGGTTGCCTCAACTCACTTTAGCTCCATTTTCTTTTGTTAATCTACCCTTTTTGCTTGAGGTACAAATCACTCAATTTTCAAATCGAAACAAAAGAAGCCAAGAAGCTTAGCATTAAGCTAGGAAGAGCAGAAGTTGTGTGAAGAAATAGATCACAATGACTTGCATGTGTGAATGGGCTACCAAAGATCAAAAATTTCCAGGCCTCCAGTCAAAAGAAGATCCCTTCAGTCAAAGAAAGAGTACTTCCATCAGAGGAAGACTCTACATTTAGCAGAAAAGAATAATTTGATCCAATCCAATTTATTCAATGGTGTTTGTTACACATTCAGCTATAGGTCATCACTTGATTTCTCTCAGTTGCTCAATTAGTCAGATCAAGTGACATAATAGAGTATGTGAATGAGACCTTAATTAGCAGCAGTTGCTCTGCTTTAAAAGGGTGATCCGTCATCTAGAGAAAAATGGAAAATATATAAGCGCCTTTGTTTTCAGACTTTGAGAATCAGATGGCAGAGAATCAGTGGCAGGTATATGTTGTCCGCCCCTTAGTGCTCTCACTCTAGGCATAAATATAATCAGCCTAAGAGCAGACGACAGCTAGGAACACAGTACAATTATCCCATTGGAGTAAGAAATCAGTACACAAGAGCCAGGGGATTCCATTTGCTGGCAACTAGCTTTTTACTACTAAAAAAGAAAATCCTTCTTGTGATCTGAGAATGCTTTGCTGATTTGTTGATCTTCCGTTTAAGCATTCTGGCAACAGTCATGTACAACATTCACTATGATACTCAAGCAGCAGTATGAACTCAGAGAAAACAGCTCCTGGCGTCAAAGTAACTAAGCTACCTCCATCCACAAATAAAACTGTGTCATTTGCAGATAACCAAGTCCACAAACCATCCTACAGACAAATAGCTAATTCAAGAAAACCATCTCACCTGTCCTTGTACAGCCAACTGCTAACTTTCAGCATGAGGGAGAGGTAAGTAGAAATTTGAGCAACGAATTTAACTGTCATGTATTGACAGGGCTTGTACCTTTTTCCTTTTGCAAACACACAAGTGAAAGTACGTGAAACTTGGGACTATGATTGGCACGCAAATATGTTCCAGTATCAATCCAATCAAGAATATCCCTATGTGTACAACTCCTCTGACGAAAACACCTACTAGCCTCACAATATTTGGTACAGATCCAAGTGTCCAACCCAACTGTGCCTCTGAATGTTCACAGACTTCAGATCTGAGGCACAGCACTTTGCAGACAAAATTACACACAGAGTTTATTATGCCATGAAGCATCATATACATTTGGGCAGTACTCAAAATATGGGGGGGGGGGGGGGGAGTCCGCGTGTGTTTTTTTCCCCCCCCCCCCCCCCCCGCTACTGCACAACATTACAGCTCTGAGTGCTGAAGTATTGTAAACAGAGCCTTTGGAACAGTCTGAGTGAATTAACTGAACATAAAAATCAAACTTCCTGCAACTTAGCCCTCATATAGGGAATAAGCAAATTAGCCCCTAGTACTGTTATTGGATGAGAGGTCATAATGGTGTACAAGAGCAGGGGAAATAGTTCCTTGGAAAAACAGTATGAAAGAAAGAAAAGAGCAGGCGGCAACTCCCATTAAAGGCAAAACTTGGTGTTACCTTTTCTAATGAGATGGGTTGGGGTTTGCCTAACTACCTGGCTCTCATTCCACTCAGTAAGATAGGAGCTGCTGAGAACTAATTTTCAAAGTGTTTACAGAGGCCTGGTTCAGTTTGAGACTACAGCAGGGCTTTTTTTGTAGAAAAAGCCCAGCAGGAACTCATTAGCATAATAGGCCACACCCAACAGCAGACACTCACTAGCATATTAGGCCACACCCTTGAAAGCACATTAGCGTATTAGGCCACGCCCCCATGTTACCAGAAGTGTGGTCATCCAGCCACACACCCCTTTTGCTTCTTATTCTGTTCACCTTGTTTGTTTTCAAAACCCAGGGCCTCTTTTTGTAGCAGGAACTCCTCTGCATGTTAGGCCACACACCCCTAATGTAGCCAATCCTAATGAGTTTCTGCTGTTGGGTGTGGCCTATTATGCTAAGGAGTTCCTGCTGGGCATGGCCAACTCGGGAGCCAGCCGGAACTCCGTTCCTGTGCGTTTCTGCCCAAAAATAGCCCTGGACTACAGTATGAGGAAGAGGGGGCTTCAGCCTTCACCTGTGTTGGTTTCCTAACCTGAACATCTATGTTTTCAATCTAAGAAAGAAACGAAAAGGAGAAATGAAAAGAAATGTACTGCAATACTGTTTTGACCATTCTACTGGCCACACAAATTTATCTGGTTTGTATTGAAAGATTCTTTATAAAGCCAGGTATGCTTAATACCTAAATGACTACCAACAAGACATCCTTGGGCAGGTCACTGCTCCTTGCCAACATATTACCTGCCAACATATTACCTTGCCAACGTATTACCTGCCAACATTTCACAAAAATAACACTATTGTAACATCCCTATTCTAAACTCCACCCATGACTGCACACTAAGATTGGAAACAGGACCAAATATTGTCATACACTAGTCAAGTATTTTTAAAGCATTACCTTAACTACAATAACAAAAAATATTTTAATGATCAACAGTGTTAATTCTTATGCTACTTACAAAATAACAGTGAAAGAACATTAACATTTTTTTAAAAAAATGCAAGAAATTGTACATTCAGCAATGTTTCATAAGATTTCCATACATGTGAATGATTAACTGGCCTGTTCTTCTCGCATGCCATGTATAAAGCACCATTCTTGGCAAAAAAGAACATGGTCAAATAACATAAAGTAAACTGACCAGTCAGTTGATCAGCATACTAAACCTACAGAGTACTACAGAACATGCTTTTAGCCTGTTGTATGCTATATTCTTTGGCTTCTCTGTGGTGTCTTCCAAAACTAGGTGTTTTTTTTAAGTCACCCTTATACTTTCTCTAAAAAGTCAAAACAGAACTACAGACTTGGATCCTAGGATCCTGCACCTTCTTTCTGCTTGTAGTCTGTTGAGGGGCCGTCCTCCAACTTGCAACACACATTCCTTTGGTGCTGGGTAAGACCAAGGTCTTTCAGGAAGCCAAAAGGTAACTAGCATGAGTGGAATGTACTCCACAATGGAGGGTCACTCTTGCGATGGACAAAGTGGAGCTCAGGCAGAAAGAACATACAGAATCCAAGCCAAAACAGAGATGATAATTTCTTAAGGAAAGATAATCAAAATAGGAACTGCCCTGAGTAAATATGGCCAATTAAGGCATATGCTGTATAGTCATGTTTACCCAAATACTTTTTGCAGTGATGTAAAAGGATCTGTACCCCTAGATGGTTCAGCGGATCTATAGCATGACAGCAAATCTCTTATTTTTTCAGGTGATTTTGCTGAACCACAAAGGAAGCTCCATCACAAAATGGCCCACCGATCCACTGTGCCTGTATAATGTAAAAATGACCCCAATTATAACCTTTTTGCCCTGTGCTAAAAATAAAAATAGAGTACTACATATGCTTGATGTGGGAAAGTCCCATTTACTCTACAGAAAGACAGCTGCCAGAAATTTCCAGCCATAGAGGCAGTAAAATTCAAGAAAGGAAACCAGATACCTCAGCCGGAATCCTGAACGTGTTTACTCACAAAATTCTTAAGATGTTATAAATAGCAGCAGATTGTCTACTGTTACTCACATCAGTCTCCGATCTGCCCAAGGGAACTGAACAGGAACAGGTAGGATTTCAACTGATCAAGTAAGTTGAACACGTATTTATGTTTCACCATGGTCACTAAAAAGGGAAGGTTTATCTGTGTTCACATTCCCCCACTGAAGCAATGAATGTACCAACATTTGTTCATTGAGCTGGAAACTGGACTGGCTCAAACTACTGAGCCATGGGGCAAACTCTAAGGTGAGGTTTAGAAGAAATAGCACCTATCTTCCATCCAGACCAGGCTATATAAGTTAGTTATGTATGTATCCTGCCTTTGATAGATCCTGAGCAGGATACATACATACATACCTAACTTATATAGCAACAGTGACATGTTGCACGCGCACTTTGTCTGATGCCATCCAGGCAAGGTCCAGCGCATAACACAGAGAACAGCCTGCTTTGGACTGCTAGCCTTCTTTCATGTTGACACTTCCTGTAGCTTTGGTACCCCAAGTGGCCACTTGGGTCACTTGGGCAGTGAACCAGCCTTGGCTAGAAAAGTCGTCATTAGGTAAATTTTATTTAATGATCTTTATCTGAAAGCCTTATCATTGCCTTCTATGGAAAAGCACTCCGATTCTCTGTTCAATTACTAAGGCCAAGTATTCTGTCTCAGAATATGGCTTTTAAACACTGAAGAAGTCAATCCCTGTTCACAAAACTCTGCATATGACTCAAAAGCAACTAATACATTATACAGAATGAGAACAACTGCAGAATTCGGGACTATACATCAACCCAGTCTGCAGGGTGATCATAATGTCAACTAGATTGTCTGTGGAGAAAAGGGGGGGCAAGAGTGAAAGAACTGTGGCAATTCTAGACTAAACACTGAGTATGGAACAAGCTAATGTCAGAAAGAAAGAAAATAAGCTGTGGAGAAAAGAAGGACTTGGATTCAGTTCTTCCATCTCCTTCAGACAGCTGAGTGGTGCTGTCAGCGCCATCTATTCAGTATGGCATGTGTGGCTTTAATCTTGCATGAAGCTCCAGGCAATGGGCTCCAACAAGTAGCATCCCAACTTCACACCCCATCGTAGTCAGGGAATTTGATCCAAAGAAGGATCCACACATGGAAGATTACTTTCTGAGGGCAGAATAGAACCAGAGGAATTGTGGTTTGGAAATGTAAGTATAAGGGGTGTGCATTTGGCTCTATCCAAGATGAAAAAATACATGGAAAATACCTTACTGGTATTTTAGGGGTATTTTATTAAGCTGAATACAGATCAGAGAATCTGACAGCCTACCAGTATAGCTGATCCCGAATAAAGCTGAATTTTTTCGGGTACAGTCAGCTATACTGAACAGTTGCTGGTGGAGAGGATTAAAAGGCTGCAAAGTTAACTTTCAGTTCTCCTCTAGGGCTGTTTCCCACCTTTTGCTGTGGCTTCCAGAACAGGAGGGGGAACCGACATCTTTGCAGGCCAATGGCAAAAGCATCTTAGGGGAGCTGTAGTGCCTTAGAGCCAATCATTGCAATGCTTTTGCAAACAGCTGCCTTGAGCCTGCCATGGCAGGGAGGGCAGGGTATAAATTAAATAAATAAATTGCAGGTTTGCAACTTGAAAGGTTGCTGGCTTCAAATGTGAAGTCCAACTAAGGTCCCGTTCACACAGAGAAGTTGCCGCACTAAAGATACGGATGATAGGCGGATTTTCGGTGCGCGATCACACTGTAACATCTGGGAACCGTAGTACACCCGTGGCTAACCCGTGGCTTCTCGCCGAAGATGTGGAGTAAAAAACTACCACATACGATGTACTAGTTTCTGGAAAATGCAGGGCAAGGACGGGCGTCTGATTGCATTTCCACTTGAATCCCGCGGCATCCAGCACCCGTCCATGTCCCGTCACACACTGGATGTGGGTTTTTTGTAAGTCACAGGATGCGCACAAACAATCATGCGTATGTGCAAACTTCGGTGTGGAAAAAAAATTCCCGTTTGCCACGGAAGCAGAGCCTAGCGATTGCCGGTGTGATCACGCCATGCCGCTTCCTTGCCGCGCTGCAGGATAGCCATGTGATCGGCACTTAACGGCCTAACCACAGGACCTCAACGGGACATGTGATTGGGCTGCTGCACGTTACTTTGCTCCGGGGCAAACAGCCACGCTCCCCCACTCCCACATTTTCCGGCCCATGTGACCAGGACCTAAGTAACTACCTCACTTTCCCCACCCATTTCCCAGGGAACAGGGGGGGGGGGAGCAGTGGCAATTTGGCAAATAGGATTTTGGGTTAGGAGGACCACTGCTCTTTACCCAATCACAGAAGTTGGTTCCTTTTTGAAATTCTTCTGTGCATGGGCAAAGAGCATAAAAGCAAGGGTCTGGCTGAGCTAGACTCCACTGCTGAGAGAGGTTTGGAGAGTGTGCAATGGCTTTGGCTTCAGCTGCTGCTCTGACCCTGACTCCTGCTGCCTGAGAGATTATTTTACTTGAATTCTCTCTCTCTCTCCCCATCATCCTTCACTTTTCTTCTTTTTTTTCACTTTTTTGGGGGGAGTGGGGTGTGTGCAGCTTTGTCGCTTGTTTCCTGTGCCCCCCCTTTCTTTTTTTGGTCTGGTGTGTGTGTGTATAGGGGCTTTTGGTCTAGGTTCTTCTTGCTTTATCTTCTCTCTTAAGTCCTTTTTCTTGCCTTTCCCCCCAGTAGTTCACACACACACACACACATTTCTTCCCTTTAATTTCTAGAAGGTTAGTTTTTTTGGGGGGAGTGGGGTGTTGAGGTTCACTGTTCCAAGTGTGTGCTTCTGGTTTCAAGGGCTACTGAGTACAATACTTAGGTGCAGCTAAATAGGCTTTTAGTCATAAGGGACTGTTTTAGGGCAGCTGCTTTTAGATAAATGTCCCTTTAGGGTGTCCAGTAGTTTTTCAATTTTCAGGAGGGAGCTCCTGCATTTCCATGATGGAAATCAGGCTCGTTCCAACAGAATCTAGGCAGGAGAAGTTTAATAAAGAGTTTTAAACTTTTTAAAAAGTTGTCTATTCCATCTTAAGAATGGTTTATTAAACCATATTCAGGTTTCAGTACAGGAAGTCACTAGTTTAAAAAACTAAAAAAACAAACACCAACAACCCCCCCCCAAAAAAAATAGAAAGAAAACAAAAACTTAAGTAAAGGTAGGTTCGACTCTTTTGAAAGACAAAAACCTAGTGTTTGGATGGGAGGATTCATAAAAAGGTGTCAGACTCTGTTAGATTCGGGTTGCAGTGCAAGCAATAAGGCACATAATACCTTCCCCACAAATACTACTTAGAAAGAGTTTGGCCTGGGGCAACAATGAGCGGCAGGAAGGGAATGCAGTGGGGTCCTGGGGCAAGGCTAAGGAGAAGAGTGGTGGGATGGAGCAGAGGGTGAGGGCTGCAGCTTTTCCCGCACCTGTGCGGAGGACTGCTCCACAACCGCCTTCAACCACTCCATCCTCTGGCTAAAATGGTACAATAAAAAGGCCGCGCAAGGCCCTCTTCATTGAGGCTGCTGCTGGGGCACCCCCTGCA